AACGGCATCCTGAGGCAAAGGTGCAAGAAAATGTTTTATTAAGAGCTGAATTTGGCTTCTCATTAACTCTCTGGGTTTTGCTGGCTCTTTAGGAAGAATCAGTCGAACAATGCCCTTCTCATCAGGGTGCTACCTTCTCAAAAGGGACAGTAAAATCACAGCATCTCTTGCAAATTCAAAATGCTTATTTTAAAAAAAGAAATTATTTTAATTTATGTTGTCAGTGTTTTCAATGCTTTTGATGTCTTCAGCATTAAGTCAGTGGCTAAATACTGCGTTTTTTTCCTGTTTTCTCAGTAAGAACTTGGTTACTGATTAAAGTCTTTGGCAGGAAGTGGGCAAAATTAATGCATTAACAACCTAACAATGAAATCAAAGTGAATTAGAGTAGCATTATCTAAAATAAATTATATTTTGTTAGTACTGTGTAATGTTCTTTTAACTGATGATAATGATTTATTTCTACTTAGATGAATGATGAAACTAATCAGTGAATTGCTGGATAGATGCTTTGTTGAATTAGTCCCATATTCAATTGGGAGTCTTTAATCTATTGCTTTGTGTGCTTATTTGTCATTGAATTCGCAGGAGGATGTGCAGGTTCTTCTTTTGCTTACATGAATATGAGCTAGAAGATCTTCATTGATTATCAGTGGAGTTTCATTGTTTTAAACCAGGGAAAATGAGACAATGGGGCCTTTCTGTCTTTGATTTTGTTTGGAGATGCCTTTTGAAAACCACCTTACAAGATCCTTTTTAAAGTTATTTGAAACTTACCTTTAAAAGGAATTCATCCCACTTATTTCCAATATGCAAGGTGTTTTTAGTTAACAGTATTTGTGAATTCTGTGGTAATGATTGCTTAAAAATGGGGATGAGTTGGTCGTTTCTTTTTACATTGCCTCTATTACACTAGATGAAGTGATGCTGCGCTATTTTTTCTAGTCCACCTACAAGACTCCGACTGTTCATTAAAATTTTATGAATGAAGAAAATAACAAATGTGTTGACAATGAAAATAACAGAGTTTCAGGAAGCTAATATTAATGGAAATGCTTTTGTTACAACTTTAGAGTCCAAAGCCAGCATTTGTTAGGCCAGCTTACAATTCTGAGAGGAAAAATAACTGAGCTTTTTGTGAGCATTTAGCATAAATGGCAGCTAGGTCCCCACAGTGTGAGAAATTATATGCTCTTAACTATGAATGGACAATGTGCCTAGCAAAGAGTTACGCTGATAGAGGTAAAGAATGAAAGCATGAGAAGGTTTTTGTAAGTCCTGTGAAACATATTTTGCCAGTAATAGAAACCTAGAAGCAAACTTGGGTTTACTATATACTATTATCTCCAAACAGCACCATCACCTTAAAAATCTAACACTCTATATTGAAAGTTGTCTCATACTAAAATTACAGGTAATGCCCAAGTCTATTTTATAAAAAGGTAAAACCAGTTTAATTCTGGAGCAAGTTGTAGCATTCTTCTAACCCTTCAACCCCAACATAACATTCAAAAAATTGGAAGGCAGACCACCCACACCATGAAGACAGCATAAGATCACTTGGCATGAGGAAATAAATCTTTATTGGAGTCCGTCTTTGATGTTTTTTTACCCTTAGAGGAAAAAATAACTCCAGATTTTGATAAATAATTTAATATTAAATTCAACCTTAAATCCACAGTGCATATGCTGACAAACCAGCAGTAGGAACAGTTAGAGGATGCAGGGAAACATCTTGAAAGCCCAGTAGTGATGTGGAAATCTACTAACAAATGGAGTTATTCTGCATGTTAGGGCTGGAACTACCTTTTGGTTAATTGTATTGCAATTTTGCTTAGGCTGTTTGCACCTCCTATTTTGGGCAGCCCAAAGGAAGGAATGAACTGAGTGCTTATGGGAAGTCACAGAATGAAGCCCACAGCATTTTCGCTTTGAAGAGCCTCTCAGTGCCTTTATCTGTACTCTCTGTCCCATGAGCATCCTTCGGATGTGGAGGGGAGGGAAGCATGCCATCGCACTAATGTTCTGCAGCGGGCTGGGTGTGTTGCTGCTAACGAGATTACAGGATGGTGATTTCCTAACAGCTTCAAAGCCCAGGATTCTGTTCCTTTGAAAGACGGAAAAGAGAAATGCCTTTTGTAGAGAGAAAAAGGAGCCCTATGTTCCATAGTCGCTTATGGGCAACACTTGAGGTTAAGACTTGTATGATTTGTGTATGACCAGGCAGTTTGTTTAGACAAAGAGACTTGGGGCAGGGTTCCTGAAATGCCTCTGCAGTCTCAGCAGTAATACAGATCTGTGATTTAAACATTTGAAGAAAAGTCATGTGAAAGATAACAAATGCAGGTTTCTCCCAGGTCATCTTAAGCAATTGCTCTTCATTAAGCTCAAAGCAGCTGAAATCCCCCCCAAGCAGCAGTGACACTTAATCCTTAGGCCTTTACAACCTGCCCGCACCCTCCCACCCCCCGCCCCCCGTTGTGGTACTGGAACTAGGTCTTTTGCACAAAGTCTGTAGAAACTTTGTAAGAGTGGTCTTCTGGAAAATGTATCTGTTGAACATTTTAAGGTAAACGGTGGAGTGTAGACTCTGTCTGATGTCTGTGCCATGTCCTGATTTTTCCGTACTTTGCTGGGGAGGCAAAACCTTCTGTGGGCTCTTGTGGGCATGATGGCTTTTCACAGAGAACTGTGTTCAGCCTGGTTTTCCTCTTATGTCTGTAGAACAAGTGGATTTCTTCGCAGGTTAGGCAGAAGGACAACTACCACGGTGATTTTATCTGCCCCTTCTACTTTCCTTTGGCTCCCTCGAATCACCCTGGCAGCCCTCATCTTGTTCTTTTGTTTCTTGGACTCTCTGCAGGACAAGCGTTTCAAAGCTTCATATGCTTTTGGAAACAAAAGTATGTATGCAAATGACAACTAATATTATCATCTTTGAGCATAACAGGATATAAACCTCCCTTGAAGGACAGCAAGTCATCTTAAGCAATATCAAAGGCTGTTTGCAACTCACAGAATTTTGAAGCATTTAGTAACTCCTGAATGTTTATTTTGGGGGTCTAAAGTCACTCAACATGTACTAAAGCCACAGAATTTATGTGACAGAGTGTCCACAGCTCTTAAAAGCAAGAGTTAATGGCTGCTGCCTTTGTCTGTGGTTTGTCACAGCCTTGCCTTTGTATAAGTAGCTGTCTTGGAAGGAGCTTTGATATATCTTGAAGAAAGGTACTGTTATTTATAAAAATATATCTCTTCTACATTGCCTCTGATTTCCCCCCCTACCCCCACCCCTTACTGAGTATGTGAGCTCTCATTTGGTCAGAGTCACCTCAAAGATGAGATGTCCTTTGAATTTCAAGATATGCTCCTAGTTCAATAGCTGTGTAAATTAAAAAACGTTCTTGAGCAGGCAGATGCAGGACAAGAATGCAGCTGCATACTTGATATTGCTCTGTCGTGCTATCACTGGGTTCTTAACAGTGGCTGGGCCTCAGGAAACTGAAATTTATTTTTCTGCTTTAGCATATCTTAATCCAGAGTTAGTATAAGCAAAATGCTTTAATGTCTTTCATTAGAAAGCGAGTTGTGGCTTTATACTAGCTGAATGGAATCTAGTTTACTGAGAAAAGAAGATAAAGCAAATAAATCTAAGGAAGAAAATAAATAAGACGGTAGAAATAAGTCCTAACAAACACAGAGTTTGTGCTGTAGTGCTGGGTCTGTTTTCTGGACGATGTACACTGTTGCAATGCCTGGTGAATACATGATGCAATGTTAGACGTTGCTCTGTACATCTAAGGGAGGACAAGGGCTGCTGCTGTTCTACCTTGTCTTCCTGGAGAGGAGAATTGTTTTGCGATGCTGCATCCTGTCACCGTGGCATCTGCATTCTTGGAGGCCTGTGTAGTAATGTTTTCTCTACTGCAAAGTCAGGATTTGACAGGTTTGATAAATAAAAAAGCCCTGCACAATTTTTTGCATGAGGAGAATGTTAACTCTTGTGTTGTAGACAAATCCCATTTTGTGACTAAATCACACTGCTTTAAATTCACACGTCTTTTCACCACCTTTTATTATTTTATATATACGTGCGCTGGGCTGAACTTAGGCACTGTGTGCTGTTTAAATGACTGTCCCAACCTCACTAAAGGTGAATGACTTGGGGCTGACAAGAAGATGTCCCACCTATAGTTTTGAGATCCTCTGGAATGAAGAAGACTATACAGATCTAATTTATTACTGTGTTTCATGCATAGAATAGCATGGCAATCTGACCTTGCGCTTTTATGCCCCACTAAGCGGCTACAAGAGCTGCTCAGTTAAAATGGTCCCTTTCTAATTTTAATTTATGCTGTGTCTGGGCAGCTGAGTGTTTAAGGAGCTGCTGTCAAGCTCTAAATATCTCTGCCTAAGGCTTCAGAGTGACCCGACCCAGCGACGCAAGCACGGAGGGAACTGGGGTGACTCCTGATTCCCAGTGCCCTTCTGTCATCACCTCATTCCCTGTTCCTTCCTTTCTTCCGCAGAGCTGTCTTTTGTATGTCAGCTCAGGAAGGTCACTTTCATCTTTCATGGGAATTTTTTTTTTTTCCCTCTCTCCATTTTTCCTGGCTGTGTCATTTCCCCTGTGTCCTTGCAGCTTGGCTAGAAGGCTTGTCCTGACCTGGCTGCCTGGCTTGGTTGGTATCTGCATCAGGACTTTAGGCAGTTTTGGTTTTGCAGAGATGTTATCTTCTGTGTCACGTTTGTTGCGTCCTGGTTTGGGGAGTGGGGATAAGAACTGTCCTACATCTACTTACCAGCCAATTTCTGTACTTGTGGTTTGGTTTTGTGTTGTGTTTTTTTTTTTTTTTTTTTTTTTTTTCCCCCTAGCTCCTAATTCTCCCTTTTCTTTCATCACTTTGAGCCCTGCCAGCTCCCCGGGTTCTCCAGGAGCGGCTGCTACAAAGATGCGTGTGTTCTCCTCTGTAAAACCGGTCCTTGTTTTGTGTTGCTAGGCTACTCCCTTCCAGCTGCCACTGAAGAAATGCTCCGTGGTGGGAAACGGTGGGATCCTGAAAAAGAGCGGCTGCGGCAAACAAATAGATCAAGCAGATTTTGTCATGCGGTAAGACAGAAACCTCAATGACACATTGTCTCCCCTTCCCCCTACAAAGTCTTGGACTTTTCAAAGCTATTCAATTGCGATTAATCAATTATAATTTGCCTTGTTTCCCCCCACCCCTTGGCAGAATGCTTTATGCAAGTGATTTGGGTAAAAGTGTGAAGGGGGACAAAAAAGAGAGCTTTGACTGGCTTCTGCAAATGGGTGTGTAGTGTGGGGGCAGTCTGCAGGTGGATGGGCTAAGGTTGTGATAGATTGTGCAGTGTCACAGAGAAGTACTGAAGACCTGCTTTTCTCTTTAATTATGCAATGTTAGGCAGGGTCTCATCCTGCAATGTGCTCTGTCCTCTGCGATTCTAAATGCTGTCACATGCAAGCCATTGAACTCTAGATGAGTAGGTACTGATGTATGGGGCAAGGCTTAAGAAGCTGGAACAAGGTAAAATGTTCCTGTGTTTTTCTTCCCTCAAGACTAATTTCTTGGCTGACTGTCTGAGGAAAGGCCAAACCTCTTTCCTTGATGCAGGGTTTTTGGGATTCCTCACATTTCCTTCCCCTCCAGCCTTCCTAAAGTTATAAGAACCTGTCAGGAGGGATGTTGAACCAGCTACTGCTTTCGTGATTGAATTTGGCACTTTCTAGGTCTGCATTCTTTAAGGAAGAAAGACAGAAATTAGTTCCTCCCTGTTAAACATGAACAAGAAAGACATTATGGGGGAAAAAACGGAGGAATGCTCCCAAAGAGATGAGAAATGGAGTTTCTTTGGGTTTTGAAATGGATGCATAATGAACACCCACTTTAGCAAGTCTCCTTATTAGATCCTGATGGCTTACTATAAAGCCACACAAATTTGCTGCAAACCAAACAGTATTGCTGTAATTTCTGGTTTGCATCTCCGAGACCAAAAATGCCTTCAATGTTAAAGCAAAGAAATACAACAAACTAAAGGCAAGAGGAAACGTATACTTAGAGCATTCCCAGAAGAGAAGATGTAAGGCACAGGGGGAGAGAGGGAGTGTGCTGATTGCCATTACTGCAAAACTCCTTAGGTGTTCCACAGACTAAATATAACAAACTGCAGGGTGTATGCCATGGTAATATTATCTAGATGCAATGGGAAAGTGAAATGTTGCAGGAGCAATCAGTTACAAAAACAATAGAAACTTTTTTTAAAAAACAGGAGTTGTAGCTTGATCAGAAAAATCCTTTTCTCTCCAGGGACAGTGAAGCAACCATTATCTGTACAGAACTTATTTTGAATTGGAAATAAGTGATAGGGAGAATCCTGCAAAAATCCCAGTAGCTACCTGCAGGCTGTATTGTATTAGTGATGTGCAGTCATATTTATGGAAAATGTTTCAGTTCTTTTGGGTTAGAAACTAATACGCCACTGGGAGGAAATATTTTTATAGCAGGTGGAAGACAGGATTTAGTTGATCTTTCCTAAATCTGTTTCCTATAATCTGAGAGCTGGGAGAGAAGGAACACAATAGTGAATTGCATAACATCTTTAATTTATTTTTTTTAAAGAAATTTGTCTAACATCTTTAAAGTATTTCCGCAACGTGAAATGTCATGCCAGGTTTTGCCCTTGTTCTTTTCTTCCATTCACATGTTTTTTTATATCATTTACGTGTATTTCCTTAAACTCTGTCATATGACTGCAGCCATTTTCTCTGCTATATTGTAATTACTAAGGTTAATGAGTTTAAACTCATCTTGTTTTTGAGCATCTTCTACAAACACAGCTGTTCCAACATAGAGATTAAAAGAGCAGCAGTTTTCAGCATAGCACACTGCCTCTGCAATGCAAAAGGTGCATGGCATATGGTCTACGTGTTTAGGTAGCGTGGTTATAATAGGCTCTTCTGATACCTGGCTCGTTTTCAAGTTTGTAATCCTTATTTCTAAGAAAAAAATTTGATTTTCCCCCTCCCTTCCTGCTTAACGCTTATTTTGAGAGACAAGTGTTGGGTACTAAACCCTAAGCAATGTTTTTGTCTGTATTTTGACAGAAGAGACACATTTTCTTGGCATTAGATTTTGAAAAAATATTTCTACATCTCACAATTCTCCCTTCCCCCAACCACTTTCCAGGCTCTGCTGTGGTTTCTTTATCTCCCAGAGAGAGGGTTTCTCTCTGTAAAATAGCAGGGGATTGCAGGGAGTTCTCCAAGCTGTTTGCTGGTGAATTTATTCCAAAACTAGAAGCAACTTGTCACTGTTTCAAGTTGACTAATGGCTGTCCTGGTTTGGGGAGGCCAAGCTGTTGTCTTTTAATCATGCTGTGCCATGCCATCTAGCCATACCAGCCCAGGTGGAGCTGGGGAAGTTAAGTATGGTGGCATTTTGGGGTTTATAGACAAGTCTAGAGAAACATGGCTTTCAGCTGCCTTATGCAATTATTGTCTTGATGTTGGCCAAGGTGCCATAAAGGAATAAAAACGAATGTTTGCAATTACATATTAAATTCATATTAGTCCCTAGTGTTTAGTATACGTGCATATATAACATTCTAAAATAGCTAGATAGTCACATAGCATCTACCAAATGCACATGCCCCAGCCAAGTTGCCTGGATTCTCTGCACCTGTGGGACATGGACTTCTGTCTGGGCCAAACCCAGAAGAGCCATTTCTACCTGGTGAGGGTTGAAGGATCCCTCTCATTTTACCCTTGCAGCTGTGTCTACCTCTTGAGTTGGAAGGTCTCAGATGTGCAAAAGGCACACATGGAGTGCTGTGTGCCTGTTGATGATTTCCCCCCTGCCAGCACTTAAAGCCTCAGTCTAAGTCATGTTTGTCATGTAGAAGACCAGTATGTTCCACTCTTCCACTTAGGCTCGTGTCAAAAATGCTGGCCTGAAATGCTGTCCCGGTGCTTCGTTCTTTCCTGCATGTTCACTTACTCCTCAGTACCAGGAGCAAGAGTACAATAATTAAAAAGAAGTTTCTTAGGATGAGTCTTTTTGTTTCTTGATGTGTTCCACACCTGCACAACACTTGGCACTCTACTGACCTGTTCAAGAAAATAATCTGAAGGGCCAAGAAGTTTCTGTCAACGAACTGATTTCTTGCAGAGTTTCCTCTAGATACTCAGGCCATTTCTTAGTATTTCATGCAGAACAAGGTGGAAATGAGACTTACTGATGAAAGGAATGAGATATGTTTAAATAATGTATCTGGGACTGGCTTGTGAAAGAAATTTCATTATTGAGATGTTAAGATGATAAAAACTAGGGAGAGATCGTGGTCCTTCATAGTGCTTTTAAATAAACCTCAACCACAAATGACTTCTTAAAAGCTTGCCCTTGTGTTTATTCAAATCGGAGAGCATTAAACCATAATCTGCCAGAGATCAGTTATGCCATCTCTCTGCTCTGAGGCAAATCACCTGTGTATCTTGCTTCACAAATATTTGTTTGACCTGCCATTGAAAACTGCTACTGAAAAAAGCCTGCTACTATTTTTATGTAAACCTTTCTTAGTTCTTAAGGTTTTATTGTTCTTTATGTCTGGGAATTAAACTTCCACTATGCTTCTAGTCTGTCTTTTTTTTTGTCTCTTTTTTTTTTTTTTTTGTTCTCAATGATTGCATTTTCTAAAACCTTTTATTTTGATTCTTCTTTTCTGGCTTCTTTTTAAGTTGTCTAGCTTATCTTAAATTGTGGTAGACCAAACTAGAAGCTGTTTCCTAACTGAGACTTTAATACGTTGTGCACATCTTAACAAATGTAGTCCTGAAAGGAGAAAATGTTCCTGGAAATTTTATTTTTCTTGGTTCATGTGGTTGGATTCATGTATATTCCATATAGGTGGGACTTTGCTGTCTTTCTCTTTGGCATTTCCTGATGATGTGAATTTAAGAATATGGTTTTGAGAGCTAGTATTTGTATGCAAGTACATGCAGATGTAGCACTACTGTGGGTTTGTCTTTGGGAATGTGGAATATTTTGCATTAACAAAAATTGCAGGCAGTATACCGGGTGCACACTAGTGCCCTCTCCAAGCACTGACATTGCACAAAGCCGTAAGATGTGGAGCTGCGACTGGGAATTTGTGCAGCCTTGTTTGCTGTGCGCCTGGATCCCTTCTCCAAAAACTGCGGAGGTCAGTGAAAATGCTAACGGAGGCAGCGACTGCTCTGGCAGCAAGAGCTTTCCTTGCGATGAGACTGATTTTCCCAGCGCGGCGGAAGCATGTGGCGACCTGTAGTCCAACAGTGTAACCATTTCTGCAGTAGCCCCTGGAAACTGCTGTAAAAACCGAACTGTAGCTCACTTCCCCGGCTCCAGCCTCTCACTTGTGTAGGCAATGGGTTTCTGAATTATTAAGATTAAAAAAATTGGATAAGCAACTCATCGTTGTTGGACTGAAGGGTTTCATGACTGACGCCGGCTGCCTGGAGGACATACGCAGAAGTGGAGTGCTACAGAGAGTTTAATAGAGAAGATGGTGAAAGGAATGACATAGCTCTTCACACATGTAAGACGTGCAGCAAAGAAACCTGTGTCTCCCTGGTACTGAGAGGAGAAGTCATGAACATGAAACAGCTCGTCTCTGTGCCGCTGCCTGCCCTCCTCCAGTGCTGGGGCCTTGTCCTCCGTGGGAGCGGTTGTCTGCAGAGCTTAAAGCAACCAGAGGCTGCTTGACTCCCTTCTTTAGGGTCGGCGTTTGCTCAGCACATGCTCTCGGTGGGAGCAGGAAGAGGCAGGAGCTCACCCTCACCTTTCCTTACCTCGGGCACTCTGTCTCTGTCCTGCGCTTTTCCAGCGTGCTGTAGGAAAACAATGAAACCAGCATGTGCAAATGGGGATGTCTTGATGTGATGGTTGAACTTAAAAATTGAAGGGCAAATTTGGTTATGGTAGAGCCCAAAACTTTTTTTTTTTTTTAAAAAATAAAAAAGAACAAAACCCAACCACATAAAAAACTAAAAGTTTTTTCTGAAAAAAATCCAATTTCCAAATTCTACCTGTCTCTCAGAATCCTGGTTTCATTTTTGCCTTTTAAGCATTAAAAATATTGTTCATATCTTTGATTTAAGAACTTGGACAAATTTGAAGTGAAAAATGTTTTGACACCAATTTTTGGGGTAATTTCTGTGTACTAAATAGATTTCTCCTGACTAATTTTTGGAGCGGTGCATAGGCTTGGGTACTGTTTGAATGTATTTTCATCTTTATCTACTGCTCCTTCCTTCTTCTCCTAGGTCTTTACTACGGAGCATTTAGGACTGTTCATTGGAAGTTTCTCTCTACTTCTGTTTTTGGAGTCTTCACTGTCTGCTTCCCAAAGTAAATTTGCTCAATCACTTTCCCTTTATTATGTTATCACCCTGCCCACCAGGACAAGACTGTGAGCAGAACTGAGATGCACATATTTAAATAGCCACTCAAAATTTTTCTCTGTGTTTTCTTGGTAAACTCCGTAAGCTGAAGATACCCTGCAGTGTAATATTAAAAATGCCAGTCGCCTGTTGTTTGCAAGACCTGTCATGCTTGTAATACCACAGAGTGGTAACAATCTGGAACCTGATACTGGTAAACAAGACAAAACAGAGTGAAAAACAGAACTAAAAGAGTTCGGAAAAAAAAGTCTTTGCTATAGATAATAATGGCCTCTTCCACAGCCTTTCAGCCTGTCAGAAATGCCAAGTCTGTGTCTTTGTTTTTGCTTAGTAGTTACATAAGATCATCTCTGCAAAAGGTTTTATTTCTAAATTTCCCCGCAATCTGGTACAGAATGTCCTATTGTGCTTATAGGTGTGGTACAGTAGGGAACATTTGTAGCTTGGTCTAGTATTTATACAGCACTTTTACACTTTCTGACAGCTTGCTTTTTTTAAAAAAAAAAACAACAACAAAACCCCAAAACATCTGCGTACCTGCAGATTAAAAAAGACTGAGGTTGAAGCCTGTCAATCCTGAATGTTATTTAAAATCTTGACTGTCTTTCTGTGCACAGGTGCAACCTTCCTCCTCTGTCCAGTGAATACAGCAAAGATGTTGGATCGAAAACCCAGCTGGTGACTGCAAATCCCAGTATAATTCAGAAAAGGTAGAGAACGTATTGTTCCTTCTCTGGTTGGGGGAAACAAAAAGAAAAGTGCTTCGTCTGTGTTATAGATATTACTGCATCAGAATTACATTCTTAACAATCTTCTGATCCTGGAAAAGGATCTGGAAAAGATGAAATAGGCAATGGTTTGGTGTTAGGTGAAATAATTCAAGACTAAACCCCTGATCCTATTGCTGTAAGCAGGGAAACTAAGGGAGGCTGGCTTTTGCAGAGTTATTTCGTCTACCAGACTCCCCTCGGTGCTTCCAGCTCCCTTCCTTTACCATGCGCTGGGCACGTGCCAGAGGTGCTTTGGCCGCTCCCAAGCCAGGCACGTACCCATGGGTAGCCCAAACGACCCTGCTGGTCAGGCCAGCTGGCTGCTGCATCCCACAGTTAATGAAGATGCTAATTTGGGTTTCTCTTTGCTTCACCACTGATAACCTCTGAGTCCTTACTGTCTTCATGTTATTTGTTTGATACTGACTTACGGGTACAAAAGTGGTTAGGATGGAAATGATTGGCAGGTTGTGATCAAACAAGCCTTGCTTTTTTAGAAAACTGGGACAAATTGTTGTTGTTTATTAGAGTTGGTTGAAATTTTCCAAATGTCAGTAGCTGATGAGAGAGAGGAAGGGAGGGAGAAGGGAAGTCAATGCCATCTCTCTGATTTTGCCTTCCTGAATTTTAATTGCTATGTTATTTATTTATCAACCGGAATGAGGTAGGCTGTTCTCAGGCAGAACAAGATCTGGTAAGTAACCTGCCATGTTCACTGAAAAACACAGAGAAAAGGAATAAACCAAGGGGATGAACAGGAAATGATTAGGCATAAAGAAATTTATAATGCAGGTACTGGGAGGTGAAGGATTGTGAAAGGAAGCAAAGCAGGGAAATAAAATGAATAATGGAAAGCCAGGTGTTATAGAAAGAAGAAAGGCACAGACTTGGAAATGGATGTTTGATGGTGTTTAAATGTAATATTTTTCCTCTCTATCAGGAACTGAAGGGTTCTCTAGTTTTGTGTGTGGAAAAGATGACAGTCTTTGACAGTGTAGAAAAGAGAGGGTGAGCCAGAGGGAAATGGAGTAATAATCAGCTTCAAGAGCCAATTCCAGGCAGAGAGTGTCTGAATAGGAGAAGACACAGAAGTGCTTCTGGGATGAGATCAAAGCAAACCAAGCAAAATTGGCAGAGGATGGCATCAGGTCCCAGGTGAGAAGAGGTTGCTGCACAGGGCAGTGGACCTGAAGATGGGGAATCTGAAAATCCTGTGGGATGTCGATGGTAATGAGGTTGATTTAAGAAGTGTGATGAAATGGCCAGAACATCTTATCAAGGAAAGAAGATCAGTTTGGCCATGGCGTTTTGAATAAAGAGGAGCAGTGTGAAACATGAAGCTTACAAAGGATTTTACAGTTGTCAGGGCAGAGGATTATTAAACTCATGGATATTTATTTTGTGCCCTGCCCTCCATCAAGGCCTAGAGTGGAAAGCTCTCTGTACTTAGTATTTTTGAACAGAAGAGGAAAATGAAAGAGAGTTTTGGTGATGCTACAGGGAGACTATGGAGCCACACTAGAGACACTGTGGAGTTATTCAGCAAGAAGGAAGGGAAGGAGTGAGCAGATGGTTGAAGAAGCAGATGGAGAGAGTGAGACGATACTTTGTGAGAGGGGGCTATAGGAAGGAGGAGTGGAGGGGGAGGGAAATGAGAGAAGAGAAAGGGAGGAAGGAATAGATGGGGAACAGGAAATGGGATTGTGTCCAGTGTCAGTTTTCAAAGTAAGTGGATGATAACTGCGATACAAGACCTTTGATGAGAAAGTAATGTGGGATGTATATGCATGTGTATTGATTAGGAGGAGATATACAACCAGTAACTGAGGAATGATACAGAGAACAAATTCATAGTGCTGAAAATTGGCAGAAACCTCCTCCGAGGCTTGGAGCTCTTGAGAGATCTGACACTTTGCTTCCTCTGCATGGTCAGGAAGAGATAATTTTTTTTTTTAAAAAAAATAATATTTTACTGATGTTTCCTGTATGCTGTCCAAACTCATTATTTTACCTCCTGTGTGTTAAGTTAGAGTTGGAAAAAAAGGTTAAAACTTGGAAGTTAAAATAGAAGAAAAGACTACTAATCTGTCAACAAATAATCCATTTCTATGGAAAGAAGCTTTTTAAGGAATTAGGACTGCTTGTAAATCCAGACTTTCATGAAATTCAAGGATGTTCAGATTGGTGACTGATAGATATCTGTTTCTAAGCTATAAGTTAAATAGCTTCACATAATGGTATTATTCATTATCGTTCTTCCCCTCTCCTCTTGTCCTTACTTTAAGTAGGTTGATATTGATGAGGCTTGACATCTCAATTAACTCTCAAGTGTGTTATGGCAGATTTAGTGAATTGGTCCTGCAACACCATTCACAGCTTCTAAAAGATTTATCCTTACCAGATAATTTATGATGAGGCATGTTGGATAGGGCAAAGTTTTTGTACCAGGGATGTGGAGGCAATTTTCTGTGGTGTTCTAGAACTAGAATTATTGCTTTTAGAAAACTAAATTGTTGGCAGTAATTATTGCAGAGTGATATCTGAGTTACCACCATTTCCCCTCTAGACTTACAGCCTTAGGATGGGTTAGTCAAATTTTTTTTTTTTATCTGGGAGTACATTGACTTTAGAGATCCCTTCTAAACATTGCCTTATGCAATGAGATCAAGTTCCTACTGC